TTGGACGGGGGGCTACCAACATTGGACAGGGGCTACCAGCCTTGGACGGGGGGGGCTACCAACCTTGGGGGGGAGGGCTACCAACCCTGGACAAGGGGCTAGCAACCTTGGATGGGGGGGCTACCAATCTTGCACAGTGGGACTACCAACCTTGACGGGGTTTCTCCACCTCTGGCTTGGCCAAAAAGTGGACACTGTGGCAAAGCTGCCCAACTGGGGGGGTGGGGGGGTGTCAGACTCCAGACCCCACCTGGGGGGTGTTGGCACCCAGGAGCATCACTCAAAGTGTCACCCAGTGGGTGCCTTGTAGGTTTTATGAGAAGGTCCAGGCGCTGCACCAGGACCCCAAGGCCTCGGTGGACAACCCCTTGCTGGCCTTCAGCCTCATCAAGCGTCTCCACTCCGACTGGCCCAATGTCATCTACAGTGATGAGGCCACCGAGAACACCCAGGGTACGGGGGGGATGCTTGGCCACATGTCCTCTCTGTCACCTGGGGAGAGCTGGGAGGTGACAGGGACCCAGTGGAGGAGGAGGAGAATGGATGGTGGAGCAGGAGAACGGATGGTGGAGCAGGAGAATGGGTGGTGGAGCAGGAGAATGGGTGGTGGAGCAGGAGAATGGGTTGTGGAGCAGGAGAATGGGTGATGGAACAGCATGTGGGGTCCCCAGGGATGGAGAAGGGCTGATAAGGGTGATAGCACCCCAAAAGCTCATTAATCCCCCTCCGTGCACCCCATTACCCACCCTCAGCACTCCATGCTGGCTTCAAGGAGGTGGAGCAGGAGCTGCCTGGAGCCGAGGACCTGGACGGGGCTGCCCGGGCACTGATGCGGCTGCAGGATGTCTACTCACTCAGTGTCAAGGGCATGGCCAATGGCGTCTTCCAGCGAGCTGGTGCTGGCCGGCCACCCCTCTACAGCCCCGGCCGGCGCGTCTCCCTCTCCGCCGATGACTGCTTCCATGTGGGCAAGGTGAGGGCAAACCCCATCAGCCCCCCACAAAGCTTTTCCAGCCTGGGATGTTGCTTCCATAGGGATAGGCGTTGGGTTTTCTTCCCACATGGATGAGGAGAGGCCCCTCTGACTCAGCCTGCAGGCATTCGCCCGCCGGCCATTGCCTCTTGGCTCTCACCAAGTCTTCTTGCTGCTTCGTGGCTCGGGGAAGGGAAGAGCCAAGCCAGTGGCCTGGGGGAGATCTCCTGCTCCAGCAGCCTGGTCGAGTATGGGGTCAACCCCCGCCCGGGGATAAAAATGGGTCCATAAATCCCCAGGAGGGGATTTGGGTGCTTTGATAGGGGGGTTTTGTTCAGGGCAGAGTCCTCTGAGTGTCACTGCAGAGCTGGAATGGAGTGTCAGAGCGTGGGACAGGGTGGGGTGGGGTGGAATGAGATGGGACAGGATGGGATGGGATGGGGTGGAGGTGGAGATAGAGATGGATATGGAGATGGGGATGGAGCAGGATGGGTGGGGACGGGGTTGGGGGTGAGGATGGGACTGGAAAGGAAGGAATGGGACAGGATGGGGATGGTGTGGGAGGGAATGGGGATGGGATGTGATGGGACAGGATGGGTGGGAATTGCAATGGGATGGGATGACATGGCATGGGAATTGGATAGAATGGGATGGGGATGGGAGGGGAGGGCATAGGAGTGGGACTGGGATGAAGTTGGTCATAGGGATAGGATGGGATGAGAAGGGGATAGGATGGGTCAGGATAGGGTGAGGATGGGGGTGTGAGGATGTGGTGGGATGGGATGGAATGGTACAGGGGGGGATGGGATGGCATGGCATGGCATGGGACAGGGTGGGGACGGGACACAGGCCAGGCTGGCCCAGCCAGCGGGTCCGGGTGATGCGCTGCCTCGCAGGTTGCCTATGACACGGGTGACTACTACCACTCCATCGCATGGCTGGAGGAGGCCGTTGGCCTCTTCCGCCGCTCCTACGGCAGCTGGAACCCTGAGGACCGGAGCAGCCTGGAGGATGCTCTGGACCATCTTGCTTTCTCCTACTTCATGGTACGTCTGCAAGTCCCATCCCCATCACCCCGGTGCCTGGTGGAGCTGAACCATGGGCAGGAGGATGCTCATGGGCTCTCTGCTCCACCCATCCAGGCTGGAAACATCTCCCACGCCTTGAGCCTCTCTAGGGAGTTTCTCCACTATGGTACGTGGGGCAAGCTCAGATGAAGCAGGAGGAGGGGAGAGGTTTTGGGGTGTCTCCGTCACCTCTGCATGGCACCAACCTCCTTCACCCCATTTCTTGCCCCCACATGGGGTAATTCTCCAGGGACCAATGGCAGGCAAGGGGGGTGATGGGGACACAGCATTTCGGGTGACATCACCTCTCTGGCAGACCCCAGTAACCGACGGGTGGCGAGGAACGTGGCCAAGTACGAGAAGCTGCTGGAGACGGGGACAGCGGTGAGCGCTGGACCCCTGCGACGCCCCAATGGCACCCACCTGCAGAGCCGTGACGCCTACGAGGAGCTGTGCCAGCGCCCAGGGGGGCAGGTGGGCTTGGTGGCGGGGCCGTGGTCCCCCACCCCAATGCTGTCCCTCCCCTCACACCCTCCTTGGTCCTTTCTCTCCCCAGCTGGCCCCAGAGCATCTCCCCCATCTCAGCTGCTCTTACGAGACCAACGGTAGCCCCTACCTCCTTCTCCAGCCTGCCAAGAAGGAGATGGTCCGGATCCGACCCTACGTGGCTTTGTACCACGATTTCATCAGCGATGCTGAGGCTGAGACCATCAAGGGGTTGGCAGGGCCCTGGGTGAGCCGTCCCCATCCCCAGGGATGTCCTTTTCCTGGAAGAGGGTGCCCCAGGAGCTGGTGGACCACTCTGAAGCATGCAGAGATAGGAGAGGTTTTAAGCCAGGGCTTAGCCAAAGCCTTCTGCAGCGAGACCCTGGGGGGGACGAGCCCAGCTTAGCTCCATCTGAGTCCCTGCAAAAGATTCTGGGGAGAAACCAGGTCCATGCATGCACCTAAACCCCTTCCCAGCCAGGCTTGACTTGGTGACACCCAACTGTGTTGGATCCAGTTGTGATCACTGCTTCCCTCACCCTGGTGGGACACCTTGGGGTGGGGATGTTTGGCAACCAGCTGGCATAAACCCCCCAGTTTGGACCCCAACTGGGGTCCCTGCTTGGTGCGGGGGTCCCCATCTGCAGCAACATCCCCCCCCGCCGTGTGTCCTCCAGCTGCAGAGGTCCGTGGTCGCCTCTGGGGAGAAGCAGCAGAAAGCCGAATACCGGATAAGCAAGAGGTAGTAGCCACCCCCTCCCTTGTCCTCCAGCCGGTGGGACCACCATGGTCCCATTGCCACCACCAAGGTGGCAGGGAAGCCATGCTGGGGAGGCCTGGGTCCTCCACACCCAACGGTGCCATGAGGGTTAAGCCAGGCCACGGGTGAATTTGGGGGGGGAGCTGAAGGTGGGGTGCTCCCACAGCGCCTGGCTGAAGGACACCGCCGACCCGGTGGTGCGGGCATTGGAGCAGCGCATCGCTGCCGTCACCGGCCTGGACCTGCGGCCACCCTATGCCGAGTACCTGCAGGTGGTCAACTATGGGTTGGGAGGCCACTACGAGCCACACTTCGACCATGCCACGGTCAGGGAGCTTCTCGGGTGGTCCATGGGGCAGGTGGTCAGGGGGGTGGTTGCTGTGGTGCTCTTAGGATGATCCTTGGGGTGATCCTGGGGTGGTTCTTGGGGCGGTCTCTCAGATGGTCACCAGGGTGGTCCCTGGGATGTTCTTGGAAGTGGTCCCTGAGGCGGTCTCTGTGCTGGTCCCTCAGATGTTCCTGGAGGGGGACCCTGGGGTGGACCCCGTGGTGATCCCTGGCATGGTGCCCAGGGGGGTCCCTGGGGTGGTCCTTGGGGTGTTCTCTGGGCTGGTCCCTCAGATGTTCCTGGAGGGGGACCCTGGGGTGGGCCCTGTGTTCCTCCTGGGAGGGTTGCCTGGTCCGTGGATAGGCCCTGGGGGGGTGTCCCCATGGTGATCCCTGAGATGTTCCTGGGAAGGGAGGGCGGGAGGAAGGAGGGAGGAAGCAGGAGAGATTTCCCTTGAGGCAGCTCAGAGCCACCAGCTCTGTTGGGGCATGAGGTGCCTCCACACTGAGCCGTGTCAGCGTGGGCCTGTCCATCCCCATGGGCCTGACCGTCCCCACCGCCTTGCTCTTGGGGCAGTCCAGGAAGAGCCCCCTTTACAGAATGAAGTCGGGCAACAGGATCGCCACCGTCATGATCTACGTGAGTGTCCCCCCCTCCTCCATTTCCAGGCCTAGAGCATGGTCATCAGTAGGGTTCAGAGTGAACAGCGTTGGAGAAGGGGGAGGGCAGCCCTAAGTCAGACCGTGGTGGGTGTTAAATGACGATATCTGCAGCGTATTTAAGAGCTTGTGCCATGTCATGGCCTCTTCTCCCTGATAATGGACGATGGGACGAGGGGAAATGGTCTGAAGTTGCTTCAGGGCAGGTTTAGGTTGGACGTTAGGAAAAATTTCTTCACCGAAAGGGCTGTCGGGCTCTGGAATGGGCTGCCCAGGGAGGTGGTCGAGTCCCCATCCCTGGGGGGATTTAAAAGAAGGAGAGATGAGGTGCTGAGGGCCAGGGTTTGGGGGTGGGATGGCAGGGTTAGGTTAAAGGTTGGACTTGATCTTAAAGGTCTTTTCCAACCCAAACGATTCTATGATTCTATGTCATAGCGAGGGAAGCGCTGTGGGGGACCAAGGGAAGTTCTGTGCCTCAGTTTCCCCCTGCAAAGCAGCCGTGTCACAGGGGGTTGGCCACAGCTCATATTTTTACTCCTCTTCCAGCTGAGCGCGGTGGAGGCTGGGGGGGCCCCCCCCCCTCCTCTACGCCACCT